ATGATTGCTTTCATTTTCAATACCGTAAATATTGATGGATATGTTATTTTTCTTCTCAAATATATGAACATCACTCAAAGCGATGGGGAAGTTGATACCCTTATAATCAAGAGTCTTTTGACTTTGAGGTATAGTTGCGGTCGTATAATGAGGATATGATGAAGTAAGACATCTGTTATTCTTTGCTGGATAGAGAGCAGCGATAACTGACCACAAGAAGCAAAATTGATCGGCATTTTTTATATTCACAACAGCTTTTTTCAGTTGTATATGATACGGCAGCGTAGCAAATGTCGATAAGCCAGCACTGAGAGGAGCATATCGATTCATATTAATCATCAAATATAGAATTTCAATTAGTTCCCATCCTGAATCACATTCTTGGAAATCCTCAATTTTTGTAAGCAATGTTTCCGTGACATTCTCATCAAACCATTCACCGAGATCGGTGGTCGGCAAAATAATTACATTTTTCGTATTGAAATCTTTAATTTCACTATTGATGACTTCTCCTTTTTTATTTGAAATTTACACGCTAGTATACTGTTGACTTTAATATTTCCATTGCTCTCACGAACATTCTCCAAACGGGCAATTGACAATTCTTTTGCATCGTTAAGAAACCTCTTAGGATCCTTATTTTGAAGATTGATTATAATGCCAGAACGTATTCGGCCTCGAAAGGCCAGTGGACCATCCTTCCAGCGAACTCGATGAGTGAGTGATTCTTCTCCGCTACCAGATGATACCTGCATGCGACCTCCTTGATGCAGTCTGTCTCTCAACCTTTCTTCATAACGCTGGATGCAAGCGATGATTGATAAAACTTGGTTCTTCTTCCCCACCGATGGATTTCCCCTGTTCAGGGCGCTCGTGTAAAGTTGAATATAACGAATGCATTTATTAATCCATCGCTCTATGTCGTGATAGAGCACTGTTTGATAAGCATTCTCTACGACTTTTAGTATTCGCGGAGGAGGCCCGGTATCGCGGTCCATCTTGAAAAATACACTAACAAACTCAGTGTGAATGTAACTGAATTTATAGCAATGATCATATGTGTAAAATCCCCCCCCCCCCCCTCCAAGCAAATTTCAAGAAGTATTTGACCGTTGCAATTCTGCGAGTGATTTTTCCGTTGAGATGTTTCATCATGACGAAGAAGTAAATTTCGAGGAATGATTGAACCGTTTACATTCTCGGAATAATTTGTCCGTTGAAAAAATACGTTGGATTGTTTCATCATATCATCCCCTTGATTCATCAAATTCCCAAGAATTATTTGGCCGTTGAGACTGATGCAATGGTTCGAAACTGTTAAAAAGTACGTTGGATTATGCAATTTTTCTTAGAAATTTTATACCGTTAAAATGATCAGGAATAATTGCAACTCTCCCCTCCACTCATGTAAGCCTATAAGTACTGATCATCAACCCCTTGAAGAGACAGTCTAAAGTCTGCAACGGTGCCGATACAATCCTTGAGCCTATATCGAACGAAGTGCAAAGTAAACAAAAATGGAGGCTGATCAACCACTGGATTTGGATCTGGACGGAATTAACTGTATCGCTTTGGGGAATTTCTTGCCTACCAAACGTCGAGCAGACCTGACGCTGAACGAGGAATACCTAGTGACGGATTTGAAGATCATCTCTACCAGGCAGTTTGGAGACAAGGTAGCCGTTGTGCTGAACGATGAGTTCATCGTGTATTTACCTGCGCGGTTGTCTGACACCTTCCTGGAGAACTTGCCGAAACTGGAAGCCTATCGCCTGACTGCTGCTGCTAAACGTTTGAAAATAAAATTTTTGGAGGGGAGATATAATCCTTGCGTCTTGAGTGAGCTGAAAGTATAAATCTATTCCTACAACTACGTTTATAAAAAAAGAAATGTATTGAATAACCTGAAAAGATGTAGGGAACAAATAAATTTGAAAACTGAGCTTTATCTTTTGTTCAGTGTTATATTTTATTTTTTTTAATGAATAAAAAATAAACCTTAATACATAAATGTTTAAAAGCTATAATAATAATTTTTGAAAATATAAGTTAACAGCATCTGAAACAGATGAAACGTATATAAATATTAATTTTTCTTGAATGCAATTTAAGAAAATGGTAGAAAGAAGATGATGTTTACTCACTTTATTCGATGCAACGACCTTGTACGCCCAAAATGAGCCATGCGGCGATGGTGAGGCACCGCGCATGTGGCAGTATCTCCCTCGCCTCTTCCTCACGATCGACGAGACGGAGGAAGTTCAAAAATCCTCTCATCTCCTGATGAACAGAAGCTTGCTGTAAACACACAAGAAATATAGAAATGAGTTACATGAAAATTATTATTATTTATAGAAATGAATAAATGAACAACTAAATTGATCATTTGTTGTTGTACCTTCGCAACACAGAAAATCTCCCAGGTATACCAGGAAACTGACAACCTGGTGCATTGGCACCGCCAAATGTCCCACCAAAGGGTAATAGTGTGGGATATAATCCCAACACTTCTCCTTCTGCTCCAGCCACCAATCCTCCATGGCTGCGTCCTCTTCCTCCCACTCCTCCCTCTGCTCAGGGTCTGGGAATGGATAATTCTCCATGTTTTTTTTTCCACTGTAATAAACATACACTTGTTAATAATCACACGAAATCGCTTTTAAATGCACTAAAATCACTTTTTTCACTCAAAATTTGAAATACTTACGTTGATTTCAAACTTGTCAAAACACTTTTCAACTATCTCGTGGATGGTTTGAGACGTACTGAAGCAGAGCAATAAGACTGCGTATCCACTTAACAAACACTTCACTCCCCTTCTCGGTTGGGCGCCTGGCGTCTGGCATTCAAAGCGTCAATGGTTATGTTTTGGAGGAATGGAAGATTGTGAAGACGGTTGAGACTAATAATTGAAATATATTTACATGAACTATTTTTCTTTTTATTCAATACATGGATAATTTCGAAATAATAATAATGAAAAAAAAGTAAAATTTTAGAAAAAACTTGTAATGCACGTAATGTCATGATTTTGTTTGGTATTATAGAAGGAAAATCTTCATTGAAGCGTAAGCAATAATAATCCATAGTTTCTGATCATCCTGTCAGATAAGCGTAAGCAGACAAAACGGGGAATTATTCCTCTCGAAATCCAATACTGGTTTACAACTGAAACAAATGAAATAAAAGATATGGATGAGTATTTAATTCTTAATTTATACATTTCTTATCATGGAGTTTATTTAATACTTACAATTGGATGAATTTCGAAGTTTGCGGGCAATCGTTCAGGTCGTTTGTGGGCTCTCATTGGCTTGAAAAATACATTGCCGTGAGAACAGAAGATCAATTTAGCTCGTACACCTCCAAGCGTGAGGAAAGTACCACCAATTTTGAAGTGTTTGTTGACAACAGCTCTCAGTTTTTTCTTCATGACTCTCTCAGACAATTGACTCCTCCATTCCTCTGGCACGAAAACACGCAGTTGCTCATCATCATCATCATCATCGTTCGAGTCATCTGATGGTCGTGCTGGACTGTATGATGCTGACTCATCACTTCTGGTATCTGATACCAACACCTCCAATGAATCTACATCCATAGGTTGATGTTTTTCTGAGATGCTCACCGATGTCTCGGGCACTGTAAAATTGTCTTCAGCTGGCTTTGGACTCTCTGATGACTCATCAATGATCAGAATATCCTCCTCCGGACTCTTCGGTGAGTCGGGAATATTTAAAATACCCTTCTCTGCTGGTTCGGGACTCTCCGGTGAGTCGGGAATATTCAAAATCCCCTTCTCTGCTGGTTCGGGAGTCTCCGATGAGTCGGGAATATTCAAAATACCCTTCTCTGCTGGTGCGGGGCTCTCTGGTGAATCGAGAATATTCAAAATACTCTTCTCTGCTGGCTCGGGACTCTCTGGTGAGTCGGGAATGCTGATAACATCCTCCTCTGCTGGCTCAGGACTCTCTGATGAGTCGGGAATGCTGATAATATCCTCCTCTGCTGGCTCTGGTGAGTCGGGAATATTGTCAACTTTCTCCTCGACAGAATTAATACTGTCAGATCGCATGTCAATAACCACAGGTTTTTCGATTGACACATCAGTTGTTGAGTCTGGAACAATTGTTGATTGTGATGTGTCCAAAAGCAATGGAGTAGAACTTCCAGATGAAACATTCACAGGTAAGTCCCCATCTGATGTCTCCTTCTGGTCCGATGCCTCCCCATCTGATGTCTCTACTTCGGAGGTGCCCTCAGGATCTCCGGCCTCAGATGAAGTTGCAGAAAAATCCACCACACCAGGCACAAACTCCTCATCAGTTAAACTATCGTACTCATTTTCTGAATTGGAAGAGTGCACTGATCCCATCACTCTCAATGGCACATCTCTTTTCATTTTTTCAGAACTCCTCACGTTATCCACAAAATTACGAATTGTAATTATCTCCAAAGTCGAAACTTGCTCAGTTGGAGATCCACCAACACTACATAGCAGTAGAACTCTTCACACTTAACTCACTGAATCTAAAATGTCCTGCACTGTGCGAGCATGGGGTTTATAAAACTGATTGACGGGGTCTTCATAACAAAAGCGTCATCTTCGGGTTGACTCCCACTATCTGATTATTCATACTTTTTTAATCGAGGGGGTGAGACTTCGGATAAAAACTGAAGAACATACTAGCCTACCGAGGGAGACGTTGGTATTACCCCTCCTCTCAAACGCCATTTCGTTCAACGGTTATTGCATCATGCCACGAAATATATAATCTAAACCAGACTTTGAAGAAACGTCATCATCGTATCGTAACGGTTATTGGATTAATATTATGAATACATAACCATTTGATCTTACCAAACCTCNAGCCACGTGCCTTCATGTAAACATTCAACTAACTCTTCAAAACCAGACATGAATGAACGTACTACGACTTTCAGTCTCACGATTGAATAATTTTTTTTAAATTATCTTTTCGTTAGGTTAATACTTATATGAGATTTTCTATGAATGTTTTAATTTTTTTTTTGTCANTCTGGAATCTCGAGAGCAGATCATGTAATTTGTCCAGACAACAACAAAATTATTGAAGTAACATTTCCAAGACCGTATGCAGACACCAAGTCCACTACCTCTCATGCTAAAAACCACGGAGGGGTGGGGATGATGAAACAAGAAGACTGAGCAAAGTTCTCAGTTACTTTTACAATTGAATCATAGCAACATGGCGGTGGTTATTGATATCGAGNCATCTTATAATAATTTCCTCAAAACCATTCTTCATTCCATTGCCTCGACGCCCAGCGAGACCGCTCTTGTTTAGATAACACGTACGTGATTAAATGCGCGACCTTGAAACCCACCGTAAGACGCAACCATCGAATATCCGCCGTGAGATCACAGCCTTACCCCATGCCTCATCTCGGTCCAGCGACATCATTCTCGTTGAGTCAACGCCCCCCCTCCTCCCCCCCTCCCGAGCCACAGCATTTTTCCCAAAAGCCTNAGAGAATGTGGAAGTGGAAATAAAGTGTGTCTATCATCATAGTCTTTTTGATGGAGGTCCTATTAATTTTCATTGTGCAGTGGTCAATATGCAACGTTTGAAGAAGTGGTTTACCAAGTACGATGCTGGGTGCTTGGAGAAATCATTGACAAAGTATTGTCAGACTGGATATTTAAATTCTTTGATGAGTGAGGAAATTTCTTTTCTTTCAAAATGTTTTATAAAAACTGNCCTCCTCCCCACCTCCCGAGCCACAGCATTTTTCCCAAAAGCCTTTGCTCGGTCCAGCGAGATTATTTTGCCGTCGAGACTGCTTCAAGAAGTGTTGGATACCCGCCATATGACGTAACCATGAAATATCCCCCCCCATNTGAGTGAGGAAATTTCTTTTCTTTCAAAATGTTTTATAAAAACTGTTGCCAAAACCATTGTGGATGCAGCTTGGGAGAAGTTATCAGAGAGCATGAAGAAGGATCCAAGCATTGCACGTCTACGTTATTGTCGCACTCATTGGCTCGCTTTGGCAGCGTCTTCAAGCAGTTCAATTCCTCCACCAATAGTAGAGTGCCCTCTGTGTCAATATAAACGTTGGTAGTGTATACAAAGTCTTCATGCTACCACGAGTTCTCCGAAAGAACAATCCCCTCCTCCAGTGAGATCACTGCTCAGAGTCTCCAATATAAAACCTCANGCGAGATTATTTTGCCGTCGAGACTGCTTCAAGAAGTGTTGGATACCCGCCATATGACGTAACCATGAAATANGCCCCAAATTGACGACTACAATTGAAAATTTTTTGAATCAACATTTTGACGATGTCAGAACCAATATCTTTTTTGATGTGGGACCAGACTTATCAATCGTTTGATGGTGCAGCAGGAGCAGCTGATGCAGACANTGCTCGGTCCAGCGAGATTATTTTGCCGTCGAGACTGCTTCAAGAAGTGTTGGATACCCGCCATATGACGTAACCATGAAATATCCCCCCCCATCCACCACCCGCTGCAAGAGACATGATTAGACTCCCCATCTGACCCGTCGTGACCACCGCGCCATCTAACGGCCCCATTCCAAAGTAATATCCAGGATCGGCTCTGTATGACTACTAACACATAAGAGAAAAAGTTCTAGTGAAAGCGGATGAGTTCCAGGTCAGAGACTCTGGCTGGAGATTAGTTGACGTAATTAATTTAGAAGTGAACATAAATNGTGCAGCAGGAGCAGCTGATGCAGACACCTGCTATTATTGTCTCCTACACAATGTCTACATCCCCTTGGAATGGTTCATGCAACTTCCAGTGCCTACGCTGATCTATCATACTGAAAAAGCGGTGCAAGCAACGGATGGTATTANCGTAATGTTCGAGATTAGCAATGAACAAACTCATATCCCTCTTTCAGCACCGTCATGAAAAACTTTGGTAATTTCAAATACTCCATGGCATTAAAAGACATTCCTAAGTTCGAGAAAATGAACGAATTGTCGTAATGTATATGGAATCGACAGTGACGAAGAATCAGAGAAAAAATGGATTGTGCCCCTTTATTTGAGCAAAAATCTTCCAGCCACACTGCAANAGCTTGGAGAACGGTGGAGCAGACGATGATGTGGTCTGTCTCGAGCGAGCACGGCATTGATACCGCTTTGGAAGGAGCTTACATGCTGTTTGACTTTATTGAGTCTTTTAGAAATTTATAAGTAAAAGTAGTGATATCATGGAATTGATCATTGATTNTGATTTCAAATCTGTCTCGTTTAGTTGGTACACAAATTTCAAAAGCTAAACATTAAACACTCATATGTGACAGGTGTTTGTGTCACTTTTTCAAAAAAGAGGCCTACACTAATCATAAGGTCGATTGTATATCAATCAATAAATGTCGAATGATTTTTCCTCATCGTGGTGAAAAATATTTAAAATTTCAAAATTTCGAAAATCAACTGACTGTTCCATTTGTTGTATACGCTGATACTGACTGTTTATTGGAAAAGTGTCCGATGACAATGATGTAAATACCAAAATATACCAAAATCATGTACCATTCAGTGTTGCATTTTAGGTGAAATTTAGCTATGATAACTCAAAATCGGAACTCTCTATTTATCGTGGAAAAGACGGTGTAGAGTGGTTTATTGAGCAGCTACGTATTTTAGCTATAAAAGACGATGGCGAACTACAACGAAATGAGCCTATGAATTTGACTTTCGAGATGGAGCGAGCCTATAATGCAGCTAAAACATGTCATATTTGTGGTAGGGCATTCCCCGAAAAAGCAGTGAAACATCGGGACCATTACCACTTTACGGGAAAATATCGCGAAGCAGCTCATCCCGGTTGTAACCTGAATTACACAGAATCGTGTGTAATCCCAGTGGTTTTCCACAATTTGTCAGGTTATGACTCGCACCTTTTCATGAAGTCCCTTGCGAGACAATTCGAGAGCTCTGTGATAATACTTCTAATTAACAAAGAGAAATACATTTTTTTTACGGAATCAGTCGAATCAACAAGAGTCCACTTGAGATTAATTGACTCATTTCGTTTTATGGCAAGCAGTGTCGATAAACGTTCTTCATATTTAGAAAATGAAAAAAAAAATCGCAGCCAGTCATTACCCTCAAAAACGATAATTCGAACTGGTTGTACGCAAAGGAGTCTTCCCATACGAATACTTGGATACATGGGAGAAATTAAATGTACAACAATTACCACGGAAAGAAGAGTTTTATTCTCGACTGAATGATGAGCACATATCCGATAAAGATTACAACCATGCATGTCATGTATGGAGAAATTTCAGCATCAGAACACTCGGAGAATATGCGGATTTATATCTGAAAACCGACGTCTTGTTGCTGGCCAAGAGAATAGAATAGAAAAAGTGCGGCTGGTCACTTAAAGCGCCCAGAGTCACCTAAATCATACGATCTTTTGTAACTTCCGCCTTAGTTTCGGTCAGTCACACAGCCCCAGCCCTGTGTTTCTCACTAGGCTAATAAGGCTGGTGACAGCCGCTTGTTGTAAGTCCTCTGGTTTCAGGAAAGCCTGGCCCCAGATTTTATAGCGACG